TGGCGTTTAATTGGATTAAATTATCCAAAATGTCTGAATTTTCAAAATCATATCTGTGATTTTGCATTGGATTCTAATTGTTACTTAAAGGTAATAAAAAATAAACTTTTGAAATCAAATTTTCTGAATTTTTATTTTATTTATTTAAAAATAAGTTATTATTATTAAATGTATCTTAATAAGGGTTGAATTAAATAAATTTAGTTTAACAATTGAAGAAATTATAAGGATTTTGAGTTTAATACTTTTACTGCAATTAATAAAACAAAAATTAAAAGAAATAAATAAATTAAAAAAAAAAATACATAAATATAATTATAACTTAAATTTTTTATACTTTTTTGTCTAATTTTTATATATGTTTATTATAATTATATTGTATATTGTATTATATTGTATATTATAATTATATAATAATTTTGTACATATATAGTAAAAGGATTCTAATAATTGTTACTTAGAGGGCCTTTTAAATAAAATTTTCTGAATTTTTATTTTATTTATTTGAAAATAAGTTAGAATGTGTCTTAGTAAGGATTGAAGGATTGAATAAAATGAATTTAATTTAACAATCGAAAAAATTGTAAGGGTTTGGGTTTAATTAATAAAAAAAACTGAAAAAAAGAATAAATTTATTATAAATGATATTTTTTACTTTTTTATCTCTTTTTAATATATTTATATACTATATGTTTTTTTACATACATACATACATACATATGTACATATGTAATTATTTTATATTATAGTATCATAAGGTATAGAGATGCATGTGTCACACATCAATTTTTACCAAACTTTCGTTAGACCAAACCAATACAAAGAAGAGCGCCAAAAAAAATTTTGAAAAAAAATTTACATCCAAACTAAAAAAGAACATATTTCAAACACTGATACAAGTAGAAATATGTCCATACATACATACATACACGTAGATAAATATAATGTCTATCGGCACACGCGCCACAAACTCGACAAATCCAACTACTTGCTATATACGATCTTTAAAGTAGAGACATTATCAAATTTTAGTACATAAGACTTCTCTCTATCTCTCTCCCTCTCTCTCTCTCACTCTCGCATATCAATTGTTTTTAGTACAGTTGACTCTGATAACCATTTTGAGGTTCCGTCATTTGTACAACACACCGTCACACCGATGCGGCAACATATATTATATGTATGTATGTATGTATGTATATGAAAATATAAGCGAATCTACAATTTTTCGAGAGCAGCCATATGTGTAAATTAGTGTCTTTTAGAAGCAAGCGGTTCACAAGAATTATATGCTACGGTTGTATTGGTTTATTTCATATTATTTACATGCATATGTATGTGTGATAAGCATAATACCCTTGAAGAAATGGCACAGGTTTTGTGGAGTTTTAAATATACATTTTTTTCTAGTAAAATATGGAGATACTAGCAAAGAAGCAGCTATATCTTTGTCCACAAGGACCGTATCGTCATTTCTACTTCTCTCAAACTGCATAAGGAAAAGCGAGTTGGTAGTGTACGAGGACCAGGCCAAGTCTACCCTGCCATAAAACTAACAAAGTCTTTGTATACGCGTCCTGTCTTCCACGTCATCTCTCTACAACTAATTTTGTCTATCTAGAGCATTAACGCTTATAAAAATGCTAGCCTTGAAGTCCACGCGCAGAATTACTCTTACTAGAAGTTGCTACACTGGTCTGAGTAGGCAATTGAACAGTAAAATTCTCAGGTAATGTAATGAAGCTGAAGCTCCTTCTCCAATTTATGGTCTGCCTCTTATTGTTTTTCGAACAAATGGAGGAAACTATATTTTATTCTAAGCTATCTTGGATTTTCATGACAGAAATAAACTCGGATGCCTTCACAATCCCTGTCGAGGGGCGACCGCAATTAGAAAAATTAATTTTGGATGTTGGCCGAACCGGTACTCGAACCCCTGCTTCATAAACGTTATCTTCCGTTCGAATATTGAGCTCTACAAGTCGCTTATCATTATCGACCTACTTTATGGCACAGAAGCGTGGACGTCAGCCATTCCCGATCAGTTGGCTTTAGAAGTCTTTGAAAGTTAGTTTTTGTGAGAATTTGTGATCCCTTATACGGCCGCCAGCGTTTAGCTGCGCGGTAGGAGTTCAAGAATTTTCTTGCAGTAAGGCATGCCCATCGTAAGACGCTACTAAAATTCAAAAGTACACTTGACAATCAATTATTTACACCGGAACGACCCGGATTTTTGTCCGGAAAAAAATATTTCGGCGAATATTTTTGCGACTACAACAACAACACCTCTAGGTTTAGTTGGACAAAAACACTTAACCTGAGAAAATATTCGACGCTGCACCAGCTGATGGAGGATAACAAGATCAGCTGAGGGGAAATCAGGTGAGGAAGGAAACTACCAATACAATTTTGTTAGTACATCCTTAATCGCGTTCAATTCAAAAGAACTGATAATAAGTATATTCAAAAATTTACTAGCTTTCACTCAGTAGGAGTTAGTGTCAACATTGGTAGGAGAGACTTCCTTTTAGCTGAAGTTAAGCACTAAATACTTGGGAGTCGCAGTGTATAGCAAGAAACATTATGGATTAGCAAGTGAAGAAGTCTTCAACAGTCCCATATAAATAACCGCATCTGAATGGAAGTTAGGCTAGAGTCTTTCATCGTACAATACTTTTCTATGGAGTTATAGTTCGATAGGAAGGTAAAGAAAAATGAACGTTTCTGTAGGCTTGCCAGTACCATTCAGTGCTGTAAAATGTACACAAGACCCGCTTCTCCTCTGGTGAAGATAAACTGTACTGTCTTTAGTGAGCAATGCCTAAAGACCCTAAACTTGCCCGTAGATTTTGTAAGGCAGCAACAATGTTCTTCAAACGGGTGTAGCAGTAGTGTAACTGGTAACATTTAGACGTAATATCGCCTATTGGCGACTTTCCATGTCTACTCAATGTAACCCATAGTAGAGACTACACAGCTGTGATCACTTTATCGATTTCGCTTTTCACAGCTACCTCCGTGATTGTTTGACCGCTTAGCCGTGTAGTCGTCATTTCCTTCATTCCTATAAGAGCCCATACACTTTTTGACAGCTCGTGATCCGTAGTCCGTGGCGTCTACACCAACAGGCCAACGTCGATTCAAGACTTCAAAGATTGAATTCTTGAAGCATTTGTAATTGGGTGATGGTAAATTTCATAAAAAAAAGGATACGGTCATGTAAGCATAACACCGTGGCGGCCATTTGGCTGATATTGTTTTCGATTATATCTTCCTTTTTCTATTGAAACAAACGTCTTATCATTTACCTTAAAAGCTTCCTGTTTTTAATATCAAAATAACACCTCTCATTGGGAAACTCATATATATAAATATATTTTAAATGCTTTGTCTTGAATGACTGGTGGGTCGACACATAACCCAAACCACATGTCGTAGAGACCTGAGTCTTGAGGGAGTATTCTGGGATCAATCTATTCGAAAATTGACATTGGACGATCTTTTTCTTCCGATCTATTCGAAAAATTAGAGTCCAGATTACCATTCTTTCGGGAAGGAGTCTGTAACCGAACTAATCGAAAACATCAATTTTACTAATAAATCTACTATCTTCCAGAAAATGGGCCTGGGATCGACGGTTCGGCTTTGGTTTATATATGAAACATATATAATATATAACATATATAATAGTTTATAAATTATAATAAAACTAATTATGCTATAATTCTTATTAGAACCATCTTAAAATTCTATGCGGACGAAATTTCGAGCAACACCTAATTATCTAAACTTCAATATGGCGACTGCAATAGCCTAGTGGTTAGCATTGCGTATTGCCATTAGAAAGGCAGGGTTCGAGTATTGTTTCGATCAGCATCTAAAAAGTTAATATCATTTGAGATTTTAAAACGGCAAAAAATAGTCAAAATTCAAAATGACGGCTACAAAATGGCGAAAATCGTGATCCAACAACTTCAAGCCGACAGCCTCTTGTTGTGGACTGAAATCAAAAATCGTTGTTATTACCTGAATACCTGAATATCATGAAAGCTTCTACGTCCTGAAGCTCAATTGAAACAATTTTAACGATAAATTAAGCATTATGCATTCATTGCAATTAAGAAGTTAATTTTTTTCTACTTTTTTCACTTCAATTACGTTAAAAATATATAAATAACTAATTATTAATGCTAATCTTAGGTTCAAGACATATAAAAAACTATAAACTTTGAAACAGATTTTAGATAAAAAGAAATCGGACGGATAGATCAAGCCCGGGGCTTGAAGTTAGATCGCGTTCAAAGTTTTTTGAAAGGTGTGTTCGAGTAGCTGTCATTTGAAAAATATTAATCGATTTTTTATCCAAAACCAGGGGAGGGTCCCCTCAAGCCCTCCGAGTGTATTGTTGACATTGATCTTTCGGAGGTTTCTTAAAATAAAGTGTAGGTTTCTCCATTTGTTGTAAAAACATCAAGACGCAAAACCACAAATTGGTAAAGGAGCTAGGCCGAAAATTGCTTTAGCGGTAACAAAGCGCCAATTAAATATGTATATATATAGTTGCGGTCGGGATATAGGGAATCTTAAGCTCTTCGAATGTATTTCTGACATGAAAATCAAAGAGCCCCATAAAAATCCATCGCTGGTTCCGAGGCGGCTTAGAACCCCATAGTTTATTCTAAGAAGACATAAAGTAGAGAATGTACTCGGCCGAAAACCGATGCAGCGAATACAAAGTGTCAATTATATATGTACATATATATAATACATTAAATAAACTTACGATTTCAAAAATCCAATTGGATTTGACTGTAAATTATCCTTATTTCCTACAGGGAACTCCACAAGTGCACAAATATTTGTTACGGTTTCTCAAATACATGCATCAATACATACACACATACATACAATAGAGGAGAGGAGGCGGACGCATATAATTGGCAGCAATGTGTTGGTAAGAACGAGCGCCTATAGATAGAGGTGCTCAACGCGACACAAACTCAGTTGTTGCAGATACTTCGAAGTGTTAAGATTAATTTTATTTTAATTTTAAAAGTGAAGAAAATATATAAATAAAGCGTAAAGTAAAAGTGGAACAAGTGAAAGAAATTATAAAATCGCAGGATCGCAGTAAATTTCAAACCGAATTGTGTTAAAATAATAATAAAATTTTACTGAAAAAGTTAGCAAAACAAAAAAAAAAAACAAAGAACTTGATTACTGGACGGTAGAAGAAACCGTGAGAAATCAATAAAAAGGATTTTGCAAAAGCACTGACTGTGCCAAGTGAGTGGCATTGTGTGATAAAATAAAACTTGTTGCTGAATCTCATATCAACTTACTGACAAGATGACTACAAAAATGGCGATTAATGCGAAGGTGCGTATACAATTTTTCCAAATTTTTCCAAACAACAAAAAAAAGGAAACTTGGCAAAATTTAAGCAAGTTTTTGTTTGTTTTTCAAAACGAAGAAAAATGCCGGAATGAGCTAAGAAGTAAAGTACAAACGCGTTTAAAAGTAAATAAAACGTTATTGGTAGAAAATAAATATGTATGTATGTACATACATGCGCAAGAACGGCTCAAAACTAATATTTACACAAATGTTCTAGTATTTTCTACCAAGAAATACAATAAAGATTGCTGGCCTTGCAATAGAAAGCAGAAAAATTGGTTTATAAAAGGCAATTCTACAAAAAAAAATTCTAACAAAAAAATTTTGTGCTAAAAATAATATCCGAAACGTGTAGAAAACAAGAAATTAAGTACATTTTTTAACAATTTTTATATGTCTCGATTCGCCATCCAACTCAAGTTGGACTGGTTATTTCGGCATTTGCCGTTTTGTATTTTTGTAAAAAAAAAAGTATTTAATATTATTCACATTCATTCGTTTTCTACTTTCAACTATAAGAAACTTAAGTCCTACTCGGTGCTCGTGCGCGCATAAATTTCAAGAAAAAATGTAAATATGGCGAATTTTTCTTCTATTTTTTTTTCTACTTGACTTTTGAAGTTTATGGACGCTATTTGAATTTTTTAGCGGTCGCAGGTTTTATGGCCATGTCTGTCTCTGTATGTGTGTGTGTGCACAGTTTCTTTTTGGTTATTGCAAAATAGATATTATGTATTCAAATATATATGTTTGTATGTACATATGCATATGCATGAATATGTATATAAATAAAATTATGTTCAAGTGCGTACGCACGTAAATACACACATACATACATATGCACATTATCACACAAGCTATTTAATTCTTTCGCCGATCGCGAATGTTGCTGAGTTTTTATTTCTTTTTTAATTTTGTACCATTGATTGAGCTCCTAGCGGTTTTAAACGTTTGCTACATACATAACAACAATTAAGTTACACATATACATACAACTTGAAACTAAATTGCCACGCGTATACCTTACTCTGGGAGATTTCAGTAGCACATTTTTTTAGCGGATCTTTAATGACAGTTTACCGATTAAAACTTTTTGTAGTCAAAAAAAATAATTTTTATAAGGAGATAATATTTTTTAATAATCAGCAGAAACTTACGTGCGCAAACTTTTATAAATTAATTAAATTAAGCAAAAAAGAAAATTCATACAGGTAATGTAATTAAATAAAGTTATTAAACTTAAAAAAATTAAATAAAATATTTTTAAATAAAATAGGATGGGATGAAAATAAATTAAACAAATTAAAGAAATTAAACCAAGTAATCAAATGAAATAAACACAACATAAACTTAAAAACAAATTTAAATAAATTAAATAAAACAAAAAAAATTAAATAAAATGAAATAAAAAATTGAAAAACATAACATAAAATTAAATAAAATTAAGTAAAAGCATAAATAAAAATAAAATGAAACAAATTAATAAAATAAGTCAAATGAAATAAAATAAAATAAACATAAAAACAAATTTAATTTAATTAAATAAAACAAAAAAATAAAATAAAGAAATAAAAAAACATAACATAAAATTAAGTAAAAGCATTAATAAAAATTAAATGAAACGAAAAGTAAATTAAATTAAACGGAATAAAATCAAGTAAAATAAATAAGTTAAAATAAGTTAAATAATAAAACGAAAATTAAATAAAATAAATTTAAATGAAGTAAGAAGAAAATAAGTTAAATTATATGGAATTACATAAAATTAAATAAAATGAAATGAATCAAAGTAAAATAAAAAATAAAATACATGTAATTTGAATTAAATGAATGAAAAAAATAAAATGAAACAAAAAATAAATAAAATGAAACAAAATAAAATTTAATAAAATAAAGTAAAATAAAAATATAATGAAATGAAAAAAAAAAATTAAAATGAAATAAATAAAGTAAGCTTAATATGAAGAAATGTAAAATAAAACTAAATCAATTTTTAAAATATATACACAAATAAAATCAAACTAATTAAAATTAATTAAAAAAAAATTAAATTTAATAAAACAAAATTAAATAAAATTAAGTTAAATAAAATTAAATTTAATTTAATTAAAAAATTTAATAAAAAAACAAATTACATAAACCAAAGTTAAATTAAGTTAAATGGAATAAAATATAATAAAAAATGAAATAGAATTATAAGTAAAATTAAAAAATATAATAATCTAAAAAAAGCGGTACAAAATTTTATAAAACAAAATAAAAAGAGCACAAAAATAGAATAAAATAAAACTAAACAATATAAAATATAATTTAATTAAATTAAATTGAATAAAAAATAAAATTAAATTCCATAAAAATCAAATTAATTAAATAAAATTAAATTGAATGGAATAAAATATAATAAAATCAAATTGGGAATATAACTAAAAAATAAAATAACATAATACATAATTTACATAAAAATAAAAAATATACATAAAATGAAAAAAATAAAGGAGCGCGAAAGAAAATAAATGGAATTAAAATGAAATAAAATGCATTAATAATGCAAAATATGTTAGTAGCTTTTAGAATTACAATTCAACATTTTTATTGTAATTTTGTTTTATTTTTTATTAAAAAAAAATCAAATTAAATTAAATTAAATAAATTAATATATAAAAAATAAAAATGGTAAATTAACTTAATTAAAACTAAATGGAATAAAATTATGAAAGAAAATAAAAAATAAAAAAATTAAAAGAATTAAATAAAGTAAAATAATGTTTTACAAAGCAAAATAAAATTAAAAACAAAAAAAAACAGAAACCGAAGTAAAGTAAAACAAAAAACCTCAAAATAAAATAAAAAAACCCAAACTAAATAAATAAAGAAAACGAAATAAAAGAAAACAAGATAGAATAATTTGAAAAATAAAATACAATTGAATAAAATAAAACTTAACAAAATAAAAATAAAATTAAATTAAACAAAAAAATTAAAATTATATAAAAAAATAAAATTAGACAAAATTAAATAAAATAATAATATAATTAAATAAAATAAATTAAATTAAAATTGCAGAAAAAATTAAGCAAAATTAAATAAAATAAAGCAAAAAAAATATATGAATCACGGGGCACAAACCACCAGTTTCCATGTCCATTAAAATCTAACCTTCATTTTCCGCCCAACCCGTCAAAACAGCCCGATTCCTGAACCTTCCGTTGGATGAATTAGATTGATCTTGATTGCTCCTAAGCGGAGTTTTATAGTCCCTACAACAACAACAAAAAGTTATGAAAATACATTAAAAAAAAATTGAATAGCATAAATTAAATAAATTAAGATATAATAATTAAAATTAAATTAAGTAAAAAGAACAATAAAATTAATTAAAAAATAATAACAAAATGAAATAAAATGAAAGAAAAATACCGATTTTAAAAATATTAATAAAAAAATAGAATAATAAAATCAAAATAAATTGAAATAATATAAAAATTCTGTTACAACCAATAAAATGATGAGCGCATAAATTTAGTAATATAATTAACTTTTAATGCTTACACGAAGGTCAGTTATGTTAAAAACAAGTCAAAATATTTAGTTAGTAAGACCTTGATAAGAGTAAGGTGCTTTTTTACTTTATTAACCATTTTGGTAACTTTATTAACAATTAGAAAGAAATTTTCTAAAACTTCTATAGGAATATATTAATAATTAAATGCAGTAAAATAACAAATATATGTGTTATATGTATACGTGTACGTATAGAATGCTAATGTAAATCTCACTTTTCATTCAAAAATAAACGAATACAAAAAAATTAAATTTTTGTTTATTTTAACATATTTAAGCTTAAGAGTATGTTACTATCTTTATGGCATATGTATGTGCATACATATACATATGTGTATGTACAAGTACTCATAAAAGACGCTTAAACAGTAGTAATTTTTATAAACAGAGTACAAAGAGAGAATGACCGTAACGTCATAAAAATTTTCATTCATAGTTTTGTGAGTACGAAAATTATTTAAGTGTGTAATAATTGTTTATAAATGCATATCAAAAGCATACAAACGACCTAACACCTACGTAACTGTGTATTTCCATAGAAATAGTACTCACTACGTACACACCTTCAACTGAGAATGCATTTTGCACGAAATATATTTGTTGGCATAGGTCGTAGAAAATCGAATAAACGTAAGCAAAATACTCGTATGTACATTTATGTATGTATATTTAACTATGCAGTTTCAAAGATAACATAGCCAAACACATATACACATACATATGTACATACACTTTCAGTTGGACTGCACTTAATGAAATGAAAAGTGCAGTCCGGCATGCAATTGCATCTCCCAGCAAATCTCTGCAAAATCCGTTCGAATGCACATTGTATGTATATTTGTATACTTCTGTATATTCCTAGTTATAACATTACCAGGTTTCAAAGTCAAGGGGTTGATTTGACGCACACAAACCTTTCATTTCTGTAGACAATTATAAAGAATTTGTTGTTTTGTTTCATTGTTGTTGGTATGATAGCAAGACAGCTTGGGTAGTTGAACATGCAAAATATTATTAGGCCATCTTTTGGTTACTTGCATAAATGTGTTTTTTTTTTTGTTTTTGTACTTTTACTGTTTGCTGTTTTGTAAAACTTGTTTTATTTTTCATTCAACACCACTTTTCCATCTCATCAACACAATCAATTCTCAACCATTTCTTATGTGTTGGCATTGAAATGATCAGCATTGGTCTTGGGTTAGTTAGCTTTGCGCAGAGGCGATATCGTAACCAATGAAGTTCTACTGAGGTGCGATTATTGCTAGTTGAAAACTTTAACCAATACCCCGCCATGGGGACGTGAAATACCGTCCACTACGGCAATTTTTGGAAGCCCGAGAGGGCTAATTTATAAATACATTTCAAGGTGTTGTTGGTTCATTGCAAATTATTGAGTTTACTTAATATTTATTTTCAAATAA